TTCTTCTTCTTCTTATAGCGTTATAACCCTGTGTGGGTCTTAGCTTGTTTGATGAATTTTTTCCATTCTGTCCTATCATTCACAATTCTTCTCCATCCCCTTACTCCTATCGTCCTCACATTCTCCTCCATCGGTCTCCATTCCATCACTCTTCTAGTTACCCTGTTTCCTTCCATTCTTGCAACATGGCCAAGCCAGGCTAACCTTTTGCTTTTGATTAGCCTCACGATATCTGCTCCCTGTATGATAGAATCTAGTTCATGATTCATCCTAATTCTCCGGGAGCCATCACTATTCTGTATTGGACCATAGATTTTCCGTAATATTTTGCTTTCAAATATTCTAAGTTGTTGCTCATCAAAGCTAGTTAATGTCCAGGCTTCACATCCATATGTGACTACTGGTCTTATCAGAACTTTATAGATTCTCAGTTTAAGTTCCCTCCCCAGTATTTTAGACTTCATTAAATTCTGATAGGCATAGTAACACCTATTACCATTCACAATACGTGCTTTAATTTCATTAGTTACTGAATTTATAGTATTAATCTGTAATTAAAATTCTGCACATGTTCAAAATTATAATGTTTTATTCTCAATTTATTTGTGGCATTTCTTGCTGCTCTTGTAACTTTCATATATTTTGTTTTCGATTCATTTATTTTTAGCCCCCTTAATTCTGTTTCTTCTATCAATTTTAATACTGTTTCTTCCAGTGCAGCTTTATTCCTGCTAATAATAGCTATATCATCTGCATATGCACTCACGTGTATTGATTTGATGCCTATATGTCCTGAGATCTCAAGTTTCCGAATAGATGCTTCCAGCGTCAGGTTAAAGAGCATTGTCGAGAGAGCATCTCCTTGTCTAACTCCCATATTGACATTAAATGGTTTAGTTAGCTCACCATCTACTCTTACTACAGCCTTGGAGTCTTTCAACGTCGCTCTGATGAGCCTGACGTATTTAGATGGTATCCCTAATAGGAGAATATCATTTAACATTTGGTCCCTATTGAGACTATCAAATGCTTGTCTGAAGTCCACATATAAATGATTTAAGTCAATGTTATATTCATAGGCTTTCTCTTGAATCTGTCTCAATACAAATATCTGGTCTATCGTTGATCTATCTGCTCTAAAGCCACACTGATACTCTCCTAACACGTCTTCTACATATACAACCAATCTATTATATAGAATACTTGACAAGATTTTATATATTACATTCAGCAGTGTAATTCCTCTATAATTGGTACACTCCATTTTATCTCCTTTTTTATGTATAGGTTGTATTACTCCTAGGGTCCATTCCTCTGGAATCTTTTCTTCTTTCCAGATCAACAATATCAGATAATGTATTCTCTCCCATAACTTGACTCCCCCTTTTTTTAGTAGTTCAGCAGTAATCCCATCACTTCCGGGTGCTTTACCATTTTTCAGACATTTGATTACTTTTTGCACTTCTTCAAACGTAGGATCTTCAATGTAATTATCCACAGTATAATATGTTGGCTGCTCTGTCTCAATTATATTTCCGGTCAGGATACCACTAAAATACTCTTTCCATCTATTAACAGTTTCTGTCAATAGATTTCCTTGACTATCTTTACATGCTACAGCTTTCGGTCTGTATTTTCGTACACATATGTACAGATGCTAATTATTACCTTTTTTATTTGATACATAATTTAGGATCGAAACTTGTTTCGGTGATTTTATTTTCATGTCACAAAGATTTCCTTTTATTACACTTATGGTATTAAATGTACTATTGTCCACTGCTTCAGTTTTCAGAAAGGTTAGTTAATGTTTGCATAATATCCTGGGCTTGTGAATTAGTTACTAACAGTTTTGTGGGCACTGTTTGTTCGGTTTATTCATCAATGTCTTCTTTCTGTAGGCACTCATATTGTCATCAGCATTTATGGAATCTTCATTATCTGGAAGATGTTTGAAGGTTTTTATTTCACTGTTTCAGCCACTCAGAAAAAACAGGTTTCAATATTTAAAGACGCATCTCCTGATAATAAGCCGGCTTTTCTGAAAGAATTTGAAACCATTACAGGTATAACAGTATCCATTCATCTTTCATTAAATAAATGGCATCAAAAGATAAAATTTTATCTTAATTGTTCCACAAGATCAAAAGTGTAGACAATGATTAGTTGATATATAAAATCATGCAATCAAACAAAACTTAGTGCCAAATGCGTTTTGACCTCGAGAGGTCATCATCAGTGGCAACAAAATTAATACATATTAAATCATGCAATTCATAAGACGATAGTTTGTTATGAAGCATACAAGGTTGCACTTTATAAAACCATACTTTATGTAATACCACACTTGATGTTAATTGCACAAGAGTTGGTGTATTATCTAAATTGAGTGCTTTTTTATATCCACTGACCTGATTTCCATTGTTGGTCTATGGTGAGCTGTGGTTCCATTGTTTGTGTCTGTGAACTTCAAAGTTGCATGGGCATTGCTGTCAGTTTTTTGAAAGTGTGCAGGGTTTCTAATCATTTTGACCAACCAGTGTGGCCATCTATTGCAAAAGAACTTTTACTTTGTTACTAATTATTGCCAGATCAAATAACACATTAAAGTTGTTGGTGTTCTGCTAATTTACGATGTTTTGCTTTTTCCTAATTTTATAGATGTGGAATTTTTCTAGAATGTCAAGCATTTTGCCTTTTGAGGCTATTTTTAATACATCTATGATATCTTCTATGGGGCCATATTCGTGCCTGTGGTCGAGGATGTGTTGAGCGTATTTTTAATTTGTTACATTGAATCTAATATCATGGACATGGTCTTTAAATCTGGTTTTAAATTACTAGCTGATCCAGCACGACATACACAGACCGGATCCTGTAGAGACCGAGTCCGGGAGTGACCGGGACTGTTAGAGACCGTGTCCGGCAGACACTGGTTGTGGTATGTATCGGGTGCAGAGAATTTTGAAAAAAGAATTCAAATTTTTTGAAATCTTCAAAAAAATGAAAAGCTGAAGAGTGTCCAAAAAGCTCACAAAACTGAAAAAAATTGAGAATTTTCAAATAAAAATATCTAAAAATTATGAAATTTTTTGTGCGGTTTTCAGACAATTACCAGCATTCTTTTATTTTTCGAAAATTTTGAAAAATTTTAAAATTATTTTCAAAATTATCCCCGCACGATCATCACCAGAACACGTCTCTGCTGGTCTCTCTCCTACCACACCCAGTCTGCTAGACCCAGACACTGCCGCCTCACCTTTATCTGAAAGACTAAGTCTTTGCAAAGAAGGCTCGTCAGAAAACTGGGTCATACACAGACCGGATCGTGCAGAGACCATGTGTGGAAGACACCGGATCTGGTAGGTATCGGATGGGGAGAATTTTGAAAAGAAAATCTAATTTTTCAAAATTTTCAAGAAATCAAAACATGCTGGAAATTTGTCAAAAAGCGTACAAAACTAAAATTATTTGAGAATATTCAACTTCAAAATTTTTTCGAAAACTTTTGGTTTTGTGCGCTTACTAGACAATTTCCAGCATTTTTTAATTTTTCGAAAAATTTTAAAAATTTGATTTTTTTCCCCAAAATTCTCTCTACCCGATCACCACCAGAACACGTTTCTGCAGGTCTGTCCTGCCACACCCGGTCTCTGCTAGACCCAGACTGCCGCTCACAGACTGCAAGTCTCGGTCTGTATCACCCGCCCCCTGCCCGACGCAGTCTCTGCCTCACCCGCTTTCTGCCGGATTAGGTCTTTGCAGCGGATCATACACAGACCGGATCGTGCAGAGACGGGGCGTGTCAGAGACTGTGTCCGGCAGACACCGTTTCAGGTAGGTGTATAGGGTGGGGAGTATTTTGAAAAGAATTTTCAAAATTTCCAAAAAATGAAAGTATGCTGGAAACTGTCCAAATGGCGCACAAAACTAAAAATTTGAGAATTTCCAACTTAAAAAAAAAATTCAAACATTTTGAATTTGAAAATTTTCAAAAATTTTAGCCAATTTCCAGCATTTTTTGGTTTTTCGAATTTTTTTTTTTTAAATTCTCCCCACCCGATCATCACCAGAACACTTCTCTGCTAGTCTGTTATGCCACACTCGGTCTCTGCTAGACCCAGAATCTGCCCCGCGCACACACTGCAAGCCTCGGTCTCAGCCCTCTGCCGGTTTCCGCCGGAGTTGGTCACAAAACTAAAATTTTTTGAAAAATTTCAACTTCAAAAAATGTTTCAAATATTTCATTTTTTGTTTTGTGCGCTTTTTAGAGATATTCCAGCATTTTTTAATTTTTTGGAAATATTTAATTATTTGAAATTTTTTTTGGAAAATTTCTCTACCCGATCAGCACCAGAACTGGTCTCTGCGGGTTACTTGTCACGGTATTTCACGGACTCGGTGTCTGTCACACCTGCTGTATGCTGAAATCGGTCTCTGTCTCTGCTTCACCCAGTCCCTACCTGTCTTTGCTGAGACCGGTTAATACAGGGACCGGATCATACAGAGAATGAGTACGGCTGTGGCTGAGACTCTCAGAGACAGGATACGGCAGAGACCGGTTCTGGCATGGATCGGGTGGGGAGAATTTAAAAAACAATCAAAATTTTGAAAAACTCGAAAAATAAAATGTGTTGCAAATTGTTCAAAAAGCGCACAAATCTAAAAAAATTGAAAAATTTCAATTTCAAAAATTGTTTCGAATATTTCGAAAATGTTTTGTTCTGACCCTCATGTTGTGTTCTCTCATTGGTCAAAATGAATAATCGGGATTCGAAGGAAGAAAACATTTTCTCTGGCCCAGGGGCGATGGACTCAACAGCACCCGGGGTCTTTGAAAAATCGCCTTTAAAATTATACACGTATAAAAACACG